ACATCAGAACTACAAATAATGACGATGATTCACATCATATTTTGTTGCAGTTTAGATTGAACTTAATTAAAAGAGGATATAAGGAGATTAGAATCAAACAGTACATAAATAAGGCATAATCAAGTGATAGATCTGATTTAACAAAAAAAGGTCAAAACACACACAAAGGAAATTCCTTTAGTATTGGCAACGACATTCAATCCGTGTACTGTTGTTTATCTGTTTGTCTTCTTCTGTTTTAGCCATGACGTTGGACGTTTATTTTCGACTTATGAGTTTGAATGTCCCTTTGGTTTCTTTCGCCTCGCCTTTCATATATACAAGGACCAGGTACGCAGAATGAATACAAAATCAATTACTATGTGCAAATACATTTGCATGTTGTAAAAGCAAAAGCCCTGTTTTATTTAGGTTATAATATACACATCCTATGTGACAGGTAGCGCGTCCCGGTTTTTACTTGAGAAATCGACGTTTGAATAAACACTACTGATATGTTGGCGCTGGCGTTATTGATTAATTGTTTTAACTGAACATTCATCCGCAATTGTTTCTTGCATATTCAACATGTGAAAAAAAGTTGTGTAATACACCTTAATGATAATTGTTCATATATTTTTCGCTATTAGCGAACTTTTGTTTTTTAACAACATAATATTATTCATCAAATCATGTTTGCTTGCGAACTTTTGTTAATGTGAATAATTTTTTTTCTAGGCACTGTTAAACAAAACAAGTGGTATTTGATTATTTTTGTAGATAATTTATCGCAGGTTATACCTAAAAATATAGTTTGCTACCTAGTACAATGTAGTACATCCACACAGCAAACGTAAAATATATATTCAAAAAAAGAAACATTGATAAATAGAAATGTGTGGAATATTTTATATGTAAACTATTTACAACCGACAAGCTAAACGATGAACGACAAATTAATTGATAATATACATCCGCATTTAAATATTCTTTAACTATCAAACTAAACACAACTAATACATATTAGGCCTGGTGTGATGAACAGATGCATTTTTCTCTTAAAACAGATTTGATTATCTCATTCACTCTTGAACAAAAAACAATCTACGTTCTGTTAAATATGAAATTATTTGATTTTTATAGGGAAAGTTGATACTTGTTTGTCATGTGTAAATGTGTACTTAACATTGTCGGAAGTTAGGTGTGTTTCGTTTTAAACACAGTTCAAAAATGGAACGAAAATAGGTTAGGTCAATTTCATTAGTACATACAATGTAATCAGTGTTATATTACCGGAAAACAAAAAACTATTTATGTAAACAATCAATTGTATCATTTCATCATTACATTGCGGGTTAAAACCAATAGAGTTGTTGTTATGAAATATCCTGTCCCTGAATGATTACACCGACACAAATTTGAACAATTATCCAACATTACGTTCTTGTTGTAATTTATGAGTCAATATTTGAAAGTGGTTTTGATTGTGGGTCAGTTGTTAAAATTAAATTCACAAATAAAGATTGCTACTGTTATAACATTTATTTTGAAATTTCATAGGATGCCATGTTTATTTCGGTCAGCATGTGCCCATCAGGTTCGTGTGTCATTATAATTTACTTGTAAAACAGGAATATATTTGCAATTTCATTAACACCCCTCTTATTATTATTTTATATTGATATATCCATCTGCACATGTATCCCTATTTTGAATAATGATGGCAGATGATTTCATTGGTACCTTCAGATCAATAAGCAACATCAAAGACAAGAACAAAATACTGGATACTCATAACGTAAACCTGATGCTTATTATTTGTGTCGTGGGATTATTTCATCGATCGAATTATTTTGTGTACAAGGGAAAAGAGTGACACGAATTCCAATTACAACTAGCTTTATGTATACTTCACGTTTTGAACATTAGCTTTTACGATAAATGAACAAGAATACTAAAATTTAGTTGATGCAAAATGTGTGAGATAATTGCATATCGTGTGATAAAAATGGTTGACATTATATGTCTAATTTATACAGATGTCTAAATAGTGCAGACCTAAATGAGAGGAAACATTCCTATTGGTACATGTATACTAGGTTTATAGGAAGCTGCAATAAATCCAAAGCTAATTAACTAATATTTAAAACAATAATTTGTGGTAACCAGTTACGTAACACACATTATGACCTTTTTGTCTAGGGACATTCTACATATTCTCAACTTGGTCAGCCTGTATACATGGACAACATTCCAGCAGCGCCTGCATACGGAGTATATATCTCCCAATTGATACGATATTCCCGGGCTTGTGTTTCCTATCATGATTTCCTTGATAGAGGATTTCTGCTCACAAGGAAGCTATTAAGCCAAGAGTTCCAAATGGTGAAGTTGAAATCATCCCTTCGTAGATTTTACGGACGCCATCACGAGTTGGTTGACCGTTATGGAATAACCGTTTCACAGATGATATCGGATATGTTCCTTATGTCGTAACTACAATATCCTTCCCTTTTCACGAATGTGACTTACCGAATTAGACTATTTACCGGATTTGTAATAACATAAGCAACACGACGGGTGCCACATGTGGAGCAGGATCTGCGTACCCTTCTGGAGCATCTGAGATCACCCCCAGTTTTTGGTGGGGTTCGTGTTGCTTAGTCTTTAGTTTTCTATGTTGTGTCATCTGTACTATTATTTGTCTGTTTGTCTTTTTATTTTTGGCCATGGCGTTGTCAGTTTGTTTTCGATCTATGAGTTTGACTGTCCCTCTGGTATCTTTCGTCCCTCTTTTCTTGATTTAAAGTAATACATATGATTTTTAAAAATATATGTTTGAATACAAAAATTTGTGTATTGATATTTATCTTGTTTATGTTATTATATGTTTATAAATCAAAAGCTTACAAATAAAACTTGTGAGGGCTGTGTATTCCTCTCATGTAAATTTAAAATGTGACTGCTATTTTAGAAAACACAACAAAACAAAACATTTACAATACAAAAACGTGTAATGGTATAAGTTGACAGTCAAAAACGGTGCTAGTTTAATAAAAAGTGTAATAACATGGTAACTTTTAATGTCGAATTTGCACGTACCTATGTATTTTTTTAATCTCAATGGTGAACATATTGAAAAAAGTTGTACCATACATTAACGTTAATTACATAGTATTGACTGAATTAAGCTATGTTCATGTTTTTTTATTTCTCATAAGAATGCATGCATCATAATGCATAAATACAAAAATATGCTTTTATTTTGATAAATATTACTAGTCTTGTAATTTTTATAAGCAATGTACATATTAAAATTTCTGTACAAATTGAAATTAATAAGATGTAAATTATTTGCAAATTGATACGCATGTGTTTGTTTTAGGGTTTTTCTTGGGAAATTTACTATCTGCAGTTGACAGAGAAGTGAATTACTCATAAAAAATATGCACAATCGATCCATTTTAAACATCATGCCCATAAGAAGGGCCAATATACATCGAAATTTTAATGTGTTTAGAATGGGCTCTGAGGATTCAGATATAAAAAGAATTAAGCACATTCGCATAATGTTATATCATGAATATATTGACCTCTCGTTATATTAGCACAAAATTATCATTTAGTAAAAAAAGAATATGAGAATTTGGAGTATATGCTACTTTGAACGTGACCAATCAGATATTCGTTTTAGCATTAAATGTTTAAAGTTAGATGTAAAAAACGTTTACTTTGTATATCATTAGACTGTTGATACCAATAGAACAAATCAATACAATCTATGTTAAATTCTGAATTAGATTTAATTTATATTACTAACATCTACACGTACACGTACACTTGTACACCTTAAGTAGGTTTGTGTTCCAGCGCACAAAATTTCGTCCTGTTTTTTTCTTCTTATTATATATTCCTAATTTACTTGGTATATTAGTACACATTATGTTATAAAACAGAAGTACACATATGACTGAAATTGATATAATCAAACAGATGTAAGTCGATAATTTGGTGTAAATAAGCTCATCGTAGAGATAAAGATTGAAATTTTGTACGCAAACCCGCGTTTTGTCTACTAAAGACTCATCAGTCACTCACGAATTAAAAAAGTTAAAAAGGCTGAATAAAGTACGAAGTTGATAGGAATTGGGGACCCAAAAAAACAAAAGGTTTTGCCAAACACAGCCAAGGTAATATATTCCTTTACAGTTTACATGCCGGAATTGGCAAGGGTACTCGTGTATATTATCTGCGTTATACGAAAACCAACATGTTATTTCATGTTATTTTTAGTTATCATTAAAATATTTTATTCCAGTTATCTGCATGTTTTTGTGCATACTACCTTGAACTTTACCACTGTGTCACTGATGTATTGAGGACATATGATTACTTATGTCTCAGATTAGACATGTATGCATGCCGTCATCCAGAACAAAACATGTGTCTCGCTTTTTGTATCTTCTGAGGACATATAAATAAAGCGGCGTGTACAATATTTGTTTATGGTTCAATAGCAATTATGTTGTATACATTTTGTTGATTGCAGAACGTTTGATGAGTCTAATAGCTATGGTCATAATATTGCCAACTTTGTCAGGGATGTTAACGTTGATAAACTTGTCATCTATTATGATTAGTAGCAGTACTTTCAGCAGTATTTAAAACCGATGTAACAAATTTAACATATTTTATACCTTCATAACGGAATCAACAAAAACTAGATAACTTATGTGTTAAGAATCTTGTGACTTAGAACCTATTACCATCAATTTATTTTATAAAAAGAAAACCACAAACTATAACTTCACTATTTAACATGTCAAACACTCAAAGAGTTAGATGATAAAGAGCAGTGGTATATTTTGAACAAATACAATTTTTTTTTTCATAATGACACTAATAAAGGTGTCGCATGTCGAAAGCCTACGATTTCTAAAACCTTTTCAAATTCAGTGCCATTTAGTTCAAGTTTTTATTTATTGGACTTAAAATAAAAGAAAAGCTGACAGATGGAAGTTTGTGATACAAATTTATTTAATTTTTTATTAAAACAAAACATACAATAATGAAAAACAATACATTAGAAGATTAACATGAGTTTATAAAAAAAATGAAGATTAAATACAAAGAAAAAAATGCGGTAACAAAACAGATATGACAATGTCATGGAAATAGTACAAAATCACTCAAAGCAAAACAGTAAAATATATGTAAATATTAAGACATTTTTAAAAACAAACAACCAAATATATCATGAATGGAGTAGGCCCGATAAAACCTTGAAATGGCCCCTCATTCTAGCTTAAATAGAAAATTAGGATTTATTGACCAATGTGGCAATAAAACAAACAACCAAATATATCATGAATGGAGTAGGCCCGATAAAACCTTGAAATGGCCCTTCATTCTAGCTTAAATAGAAAATTAGGATTTATTGACCAATGTGGCAATGAATCAAAGCTGAAACAATGACCGGAAAATTGATTATTTGGACCGGAAACATAGGGAGCATGTTTCAACAATAAATATCTTATTTATACTATATAATATTTGTTACGACATTTTGCATATCTGACTTGAAAAGTTGGTTGTTATTTATATATTTATAAGTTTTAACATATTATAAATCCAATATGAGAATTTTGATCAAATCGGTGAACAAAAATTTACAACTAATTTTAAATCATTTACAAAGCAAAATAAAATATTTAGTCAAAATTTGTATGAATTTTAATATTTTTCTGTTATAAATCATATGTATGCAAATGCATGCATGCTTTTAATGCTTCAAAAATGCTTTATTTTCTAAACCTGTTCCGATACAACCAAAACAAGTTGTACGTATGATAAGCACATTGTAAATGCAAAAAAAAAATCAAAACTTTTTTACTGATCATCTCATATCATGTTTTCAGCTACATTCACATATGATACATTGTGTGGAAATAAAAACAGATAAGAAACTTGACGAAAATCGTGATAGCTTTACAATCAATCTAAATAAGATTGAAAGAAAATATACAAAGGAAGCAAGTACATGTTGTACCACCGCTTATGAACAGCGGTGTGTTACATGTACTCAGAAATTGTTTCTTAAACCATTTATAAAAATTCGAAAGACAATTCATATTTTGCACATCTCATAGATAAACTATTTGATCTTCCTATCGTTTGAAAATATCGAAAATATAAGGAAGAAAAATATCAGTTCTTCTTATGTTAGTTAGTCCATCAAGGGAATATATCGATGTTATGAAAAGTAAGTAAGCATGAATAATACATACAAAATTTAGAAAATGACAAACATAAAAATGAAAAGATTTCAATAAATTCGCTTAGAAATGTTAATTGTTGTCGTTCAAGATCCCGCTGTCTTCAACTATGATTTTCTTATTTATTTTGTTTAAAAACTCCAAAATTAATGCCAATGATTACGCAAACAAGTTTGCAAAGGATTTCCGAAGCTAAAACCCAATAGAAAAACTATGAGAATAACATAATGAATAACACTACTAAAAATGTTTTTGTTTGAGTATTTCATTCGGTTTAACTAAACCAATATCATGGACGTTAATCGTTTAAACGACTTATCTTGCGTTGAAGTCCATTTAAGATTAATGAAAAACTTAATTTGAACCTGGGTAAGTTAGATCTTTCCGTGTGGAGGTGTAATTTGTTTATTGTCGACAACTGTATAGTTGGTCTCGAGAAGTCATCTATTTATGTTTTGTTTTGTTTTGTTTTATTTTATTTTGATATATTTGATGTGTGTTTGTCCATTTTTTATGTGTCATTGACGCATAAATCGTTCTTCTCCTTTTCACATCGATAACTCTACATTCTAACTCGTGCGTTAAATGCCAATAAAAACACTAACAGAAACAGAAAGATTAACGAAACAATCCGTTACACCATATGTTTTAACCAATTTAATTTAAATCCGTCTTTAACTGACAATACACTGACGAAATATGCTTATCGTGATACACACAATGTATTGAATCCACACTGACCTTTTACCGACAATGTCATGGTTATTACTTATGACTGTAACCTAGCATTCTTTTTAAAATTGATAGATATAGGAAGATGTGGTATGAGTGCCAATGATACAATTCTCCATCCAAGGTACAATTTATAAAAGTAAACCATTATAGGTCAAGGTACGGCCTTCAACACGGAGCATTGGCTCACACCGAACAGCAAGCTATAAAGAGCCCCAAAAAATTACTAGTGTAAAACCATTTAAACGGAAAAACCAACGGTCTAATCTATATAAAAACGAGAAAAGAGAAACACGTATGAACTACATAAACAGACGACAACTACTGTAATCAGATTCCTGACTTACGACAGGTGCAAACATTTGCAGCAGGATTAAACGTTTTAATAGTACCAAACCTTCTGCCTTTTCTGAACCAATAGTATAACATCACAACATAGAAAAACACACTATAAAATATCAATTGGAAGGCTTAACTCAATAAACAAAACGTAAATTAACACACAATGAACGAATAAATTTGACCTGTGACACCTGAATGCAAATACACAGTTAATAAAAAATTACAAGGGATAAATAATTAAAGTCAAAAGTAAATAAACAGGTTTAAACAAAGTTAAAGTATGATATCACTGTGAAATTTCAAACAATTTATAGAAAATCATCACTTTTGAAGAAAGCTGCGTCATATTATACACAGGTAAATGATAACCATTTAAAAAAAAGAATGAAACAATTGTGCTTTGTGTATTATTAGGAATGCAACAATGGTAATTATGGTCCACTATATATCCATTGACAACTCACTTGTCTGTTCTCTTCTCATCGCCGCATAATTCTAAGAAATTGAACAAAGTAGTTAACATTCATCAGTGTTTATTTTTTAATACACACCGAATTGATTTCGGAAGAACATCTTTATTCAATAACATGGTCTTCATTGACATAATAAGCAAGTGTTTGATGTTTACGTTTTTTTCTGCTTTACCACATTACCTCTCGGAAAGTCAAAAAAAAAACGTGTGTCTATTTATTACAATGTATTAATCATATTATAGAATATCAAAAATATGTTTAAGAAAACATCTTTGCATTTACATTTCAATTCAATTTGATGTAATAAGTTGTTACTAAACTTTACGAATACATTCATAACAATTTTGTATATGAATACATGTAGATGTTATAAAGGTTAGCATAATATTCTTTTTTTATGCGAATCTTAAATTTCGGAAACAATCTATACCTCTGCTTCTTAGTTCTACCTTAACTTTGCTTTTGTATATTTTTGGCTGGATTTAAAACCTGTCTTAACTGCTGTTTACCATTTTGTTTGGCATTACTTAAAGTGATCAATTATTCTCGGACTGACTCGTTTCACACTTGTTAGAAGGATGAACTACATTATTTTACACAATAGAATTAAAGCATGATGAGCTATATAATGACGGCTAGAAAAATGTATAGCACACTTGACCATGGCTACAACAACAAACAATTCAAAGGCAAACAAACGTCACTTTACTTTAACAAAAAGCAATACTTACTTCTGCAAAAGTTGACGATTACAATTACAATCAATAAAAACCAAGCTACTGGAAATATCACGATGAGAAAAAGCCCAGTGAAACACCATGCTGTAAATATAATAATAAGTATACTATAAACGTTACAGGTAGAATAACCTATATCAAATATATTAATTCTTCAAATTCGATGGTGTCTATTCAATTTAAAAAGAGGAAACATTACATAATTTGCATTACAACTATCCAAATCTATCACCAAACATTTCTTACGTCCGATGTTTTTTTGTTTTTGTTTTTTCACGGATTATTTCACAGTTAAGTCGGTCTATAAGTCTACTGATGAACCTTTAACATTCCTACAGTGAAATGGAAACCTGCACCAGTTAATGATGTTGAAAACTGAAATACATCAAAATTTATGATATCTTATGTCTTTTGTTTTACAAAGTGAATAAACGGGTGGAGCGCTTTATGGTCGTGCTCCTAAATGCCGTGTCTTTGGTAAGTTAAGTCAAATACAACTTTTGAAGTGTTTCGCTTGAACCGGGAGAAAATTGATTCAACGACCTACTGTAAGCTACATGTAGTAAAACAAATTACAGTTAAAATCCGGTCGATACTTACTTCAAAAAGTCAGAACTGTAGGTAAAGAACATTACAGTTAAAATCCGGTCGATACTCACTGCAAAACATCAGAACTGTAGGAATATATGAACCGGATATTTTGGCCATTAGGGAAACTGAATGGAACAATAATTATTGCTCACAAAATAATCGGACAAAAATCATTTAATCATTGACGGTTACATACCCTGAAGGGTGCAACATATTGAGCAGGATCTGCTTACACTTCCGAAGCAGTTGAGATGAACTCCAGTTTTTGATGGGGTTCAAGTTGCTCATTCTTTAGTTTTCTATGTTGTGTTTTGTGTACTGATGTTTGTCTATTCGTTTTTCCTTTACCATGGCATTGTCAGTTTGTATTCAACTTTTGAAATTGAATGTCCTTTTTGTATCTTTAGACTCCTTTTAGAAAAAACTTACGTGATAACTTCTTGTCATCATTGTCAGCACATACGCCCGAGGCTAAAAAGAATAAAACAATATTCGATGAATGAAGGAAATAACCGCAAACTATATATCAGTATATAACATGTATAAGGCACAAGGTTGACTGAAGTAAACAACTTCATTTGCAGTCGTTAAGGAATTGTTGTTTGTATACGATAAACATATAGTTTTTTTTTGCAAAATTACTTATGTATGATTAATTTTGTGTGGTTCGGTTGTTGCGAATGTTCATTCAATCAGTTTAATACAGCATTCTGATTTATGATGTTAGCACTTACTGCTACATACTGCCTCTCGTGAATAGTTCAAATCAATTTCCTGTCAGGATTACATAACAAGAATGCATTAAAAAAAGCATGTATTGTAATTACGGAAACTAGTGCAGTCAGGATTCTACTTCTTCAAAATTATCTCCCCGTTACGCCAGCTAATTTTTACAGTCGTTAAAATGGTTGCCATTGTAGGGATAACGCGTTTCCAATTTAGCTCTTGAAAACCGATATATGTATCCTAATAGCACCATTCCGATCCTATATTCCAGTTGTATTTTAAAAAACAAATGTATCTGATAGTTATTGAGAATTGTTTAATGTACTTTTTTGCATTTAGGCAACTTAAAACTATTGTCTGATCGGTTGTCAGGGGTAATTTTCGAAAGTTCAAAAACATTTAAAAATTTCTAATTAAATATTTCGTGGAAGGGCAGACTAAAATTTTTCGAGGTTGAAGAATGATAACCCTAGATAACACACACAAAAAATGAGGTTTTTTTGAAGTTATGCATTTGTAAGATCCAGTTGTAAAGTCTGTCGTCAATTAATTTTAGTAAAAATGTGTTATTCGAACATATATATATATATATTTCCCTTGACTCATATATTTCATTTCTTAGTGCTGTGATTTTTAAATGTTTAAATCAACCTGTAGCCTAAACATATAAAAATAGTAGAATAAAAGCGAGATGATGCATCAAATATTTTTGCCTTCTACGTTTTCAAGACAGAAAAGTCAACCCAAACAGACCCGAACACACAAAGATGTACTCGACTTTCTCTTTTCAGTTTCATTGAAATTTTAAAGCCCAGTTAAACAGATGTTAACAATTCAAATATACCTATTTTGCCTTTTTTATCTTCTCTAATAAAGATTTAATCTGCAAATTTGTGGAAGCAAATTTTTGTTCTTTCCTGTCGGGATTCGAACTTTGGGATATCGTGACAACACCGCCTGCACTGTGTCCAGTGCTCTAGACCAATCGGCCAGTAGAATCTAGAGTTGTAACACAGTACATGATATATTAGTCATGAAGATGGATTTGATTGCAGATTAGCTAAATTATCTGTCGTAAAGGATCATAAGATGCAGTCACAGAAATAATAATTTGATAGTTTAGTCTAGGATGGTCGAGTGGCCTAGGGCGCTAGGCACAGTGCATGTGTGGTTGTCACGATATGAGTTCGAATTCCTGCAAAGGAAGAACAAACATGTGCTTCCTGAAAGTTGCAGATTTAGCATTGTTGTGCTGATATATATATATATATATAGTCTATGTGGCCGAGAGGTCTAGAGCGATGAACACAGTTCAGGCGATGTTGTCTCGATATCCCAATAGCATTATTATTTTGACGTAAGTAAAATAGAGGCGAAATATACCAAAGGGATATTATAACTCATAAGTCGAAAGCAAACTGACAATGTTATTGAAAAACAAAATGACAAACAGTGAAAAGACAAACATCAATATACAAAACACAACATTGAAAAACTAAAGACTGAGCAAAACGCAATGTATAAAGGCACTTCAAACATATAGTTCTTGTATCATATGTAGCTTATCTTGTGTATTCTAACATCAATAAAAATGGGAAATAGAATGAATATTTCTGCTTGCATTATGATTGACAGATATGACACTTAGTTTATCTATTTATAGTGAAATAAAACTCACACGCTGCATTATACATTTTTTTCCACAAATAGAAAAATAACAAATACTCACTTTTGCGATAATATATCACGATAAAAACATATACAAGGAAACATAAAACATGACATAAAGCTGTAAATACACAAGCCACTGTAGCTAGTATCGCGTCTACGTCATAGTCCCAAAATCTATTGTGCAGAACTACCAAGACAATCATTGTTGTCATGAAGACAACTACTTGATAAAAAGCGGCAACAAAGAGTAATTGTATAACCTTGAATGACACACCTAGAAATACAAATCAATGTCATAATGAGCAAGTGGACTGAGGAAAACATAACATAGTTTTTTAAACAAATTGAAAAAACACTAAGATAAAGAATTCAATTCTGTGAAAAATAAATTTTCTAAAAGATAATTATAGATTGAAAAACTTACACATCCATTCGATTATCATTTGTATAAAATAGTAGAAGTTCCCTGATTGATGTTATTTAAATTTTGAGGTCGAATAATACAAAAGTAACCATATATGTAGGAATGAAATAGTAAATTTGTAGAGACCAAGTGAGTTGGAAGTATAAGCACGTGCTTTACATGAATTATGTTATGGAATTATGATTGAATATCGTCGTCGCTCAAAAAGTTCCCCAAGTCGAAGTTGTGTTGTATTCTGATTTGGTAAAATTGTGTTTCTTAACAACAGCAATATTCAAACATTTCTGACCTACATAGTGCAGGATAAGAAAATGAAACTTTCCAATCATTACTGGCTAAATTGGGTCAGACGATGAACTATCACATTCAATATACAATATACATATATAAATAGTTAATCGTTAACAGATTTATTTTAAAACAAACATGATATTTTGATTCTATTCATCTCTGTTTGCTTAAGCATCTGTTTAAGCCATTAACTCGAAGTTAAGAGGCAACTGACTTTTCTCAGATATGTTCAGATGTCTTTTGTGTTTTGGTTTTTTGTTTCTTCAGGCTTATGCGTTTCAGTTACAACTGCAGCTATCTTTGATGGCAATAAAGTATGTTCAATTGCAACATTTTAAAGAGATCAAAACGGTATGAATTATTATTTATTTGGTACATTGTAACAAGTAGTCTTTAAAATGTGCTTGTACTTTTATATTTATGTCATCTACTTCATAATTTAAGTACCTAATTTTGACATGTATAAAATTTTCATTCGGAGTTTGTTTATCTATAAACATTGTCCTTATCGTGTTGTCAGAGAAATGGCAACAAATTATCTCCATTTTCGAGGGATCTTAGCAGTAGAAATTAGATATGCTTACCCTTCCTGAGCACCTAAGACCCCTCCTGATTTTTTCATGGAGTTTGTGTTGCTCAGTCTTAGTCTACTTTTTTGTGTTTTGTGGTGTACAGTTTGCCATATAAATCATCGTATGCATCTATGAATGAATGATCAAATAGCATTCATTCATTCCATCAATGTTTCTGTTTATTAGATTTATCATTTTTAATGTAGTTTTTTAACAAAATTCATAATCCATCAATATCCTGGACTGTTCCCAGTTATTGAGGTCGCACATACGATAACCAGGATCTTTTAAGGTATAGATGACGACGTTAACGATTGCAATGGCAGTGAAATACTTACCGCAAACACTTAATCTGTCTCCAAAAACTAAAAGAAAAACAGAAGATGTAAAGTAATTTCATGACTAAAAAAAAAAAAGGAAATACCTTAGAAACATTAACCTAATAACGGACAATAATTTGAATAAATATATATTCATTGATTTGACCAAATATCCAATTGAATTTGAACATGTGTATTCATTATTTGCGACATATAAATAAGCAATTGCAAATAAAGAAAATAAGACTGTTTTTAAAGGTTTTGATACTGAAATTGCTATCACAATTAACGTTTCTAGAGAATCGGATGGAAAGTCCTTTATAAGCAAATTATAAAATTAATTTTAACTTGAGCAAATGTAGATATAGGAAGATGTGGTATGAATGCCAAAGAGACAACTCTCTTTCCAAGTCAAAATATATAAAAGTAAACCATTATAGGTCAAAGTACGGTCTTCAACACGGAGCCTTGGCTCACAACGAACAGCAAGCTATAAAGGGTCCCATAAATTACTAGTGTAAAACCATTCAAACGGGAAAACCAACGGTCTAATCTATATAAAAAACGAGAAACGAGAAACACTTATGAACCACATCAACAAACGACAACTACTGACCATCAGATTCCTGACTTAGGACAGGTGCAAACAATTGCAGCGGGTTTAAACGTTTTAATGGTAGTTTATTTATTACTTTAACCAATAGTTAACGCGAGCGGTAAAGGCGCGTATATTTTCAAGTGCACGTAAAGATAAAGGTGCAAAATCTGTATACTACTTTCTTAACAGAGAGAACGTAAAAGTGCGTTTAATCCAGTAGACATAAGAAATGTCCAATCTGATGGCATAGCGTAATGCAAGTAAACGTGCGTATGCACAAAAAAAACGCGGAAATTGGCGAAAAACAAACCTGCTTGTTATGTATCATAATTAAGTTTACAAATAAAAATGAATATTAACTTTTGACAAGAAATTGTATTTATTTTATTGTTGTAGTGGAGTTGCTGACTCATTTGCATAGCGCTTTAATTTCCTTATTCGTGTCGACTTTCAAAATTACTTGAATAAATCATATTTCAGTCCTTGCAGTAACTTGGATAAGAAAAAAACAACAATTATTTATTTGATGTCTAAGATAAATCATTTTAAGTATACCTTTTGGAAAGCAATCACATTATTTCCCTGATTTTTTTTTTTAAATTCAGTATGAAACATATGTTAAAACATTTACATTTACTGACATTTTAAAAAAAAACATGCATATGGACTTCATTGTTTAAAGCTTAGTTATACGGTTTGTATTTTTTTTTTAACAAATTGTATATTACAAATTAGAATCAAGTACATTTTATAATCTAAAATCGTATTAGTACAAATATAATTCAACTATCTACTTAAGAAACTGAAATTAAAATCAATTAAAAATCAGAATTATACTAGTAACAAATGTAATTCTGTGCTTAATCAGATGAATATAATGACATACATGTCAAATCACCTCAAAAATGTTATCACAATTCAGTTCACTGAAGACTTATTTATTGTAAGACTTACGCATTCCACATGTTTTATGAGAGGTATAGGGTGGATTGTCGTCAAGGTCTTTTGTCAATCCTAAAACAAAATGTATATTTCATAGTTAGTTAGGCACAGAGACATGTATATATGTATCGGGGGAGGAGATGGACGTTATCCAATATATTTGATATATGTTTAGCTTTTTCAATTATTTCTATTTACACCATACCATATTGTTTTTGTTTATCTTAAAATGTTGTCAATTTAATCACTTTTTTCATTTTTTTTCTAAGTCAGACAACCAGAGTACTCCTTTGTAAATATACATGTATGTTCGTGCGGGGAACCGTTGGTTCGTAGCTCTTATGGTCTGTGTGATGTTGTTTGACAATGGTCCCAAATTTAAATATTGTAAAGACCATAAGTGCTACAGTTCCCTAGCTATATTAGAACAAGATATAGGATATTAAAACATATTTATTCATTTACAAATGCTCACACTCTGACTAGTCTGATACAGTTCAATGATCCAAGTGATAGCATAAGTTGTCAAGTGTACATATTGATCTCATAAAAGAGAGAAATCGTCCTCCGTACAAAAAAAAGAGAAAAACCTAAATGCATGTCAAGTATCAATAGTTCTCATTATAATGCATAGCTTTGTTACATGAATGAAGTTGTGAAACAGGGACAAAAATGTTAAAACAGTCCAGAAACTTCAATAAGATATATTAACATAATCAAGTCAACCAGTCAAAAGTTTATTTTGAAAATAGCAGATTGAGTAGATTCCTTAAAAGGATGTACTAAGGTGAAATTAAAAAAAAAGTGGTACTAAAAGTCAAAAGAGGATTTGTTAAGGGGAAGAAAAGCTAAAAATATTGATAGGTTAATGAGCTCCTTTTCGAGATATTTGATTTTAAAAAGTGGCGGGAAAAGGTTGTATCGGTCTTTTACCTTATATTTTCATTGGTACTATTTTGGTCTCAAATCGAAAGAATATAAATCTAGAATCTACTTAAATTGTGGTAAATGACCTTTTATGAGCTATCAAAGTCTCATATTAAAAGAAAACTGGGTGTTACGCCAGGGTAAAATATATTACCCCGTATTGTAGGAAAAAACCAAAGAGTCCAAACATCTGACAAAAATCCCTGAACTTGACCTAAGTTCATCCTTAAAGTGTGCAACCTAAACATTATGCTGTGCTCAACAGGGGAAACTATTTTCCAAAAGATTTAAATTTCAACTACATGTACATGCACAACTTAAATTATACACAGGTATAATGTGGAAATTCAATGAACACTATGTAATAACTTTATTAGATACAAATTTAAAAAAGAAATTTGACATGGAGACTTTTTGTTCATATTTGCAAAAAACATTTATATACATGTATACATTGCATGTGTTTTCAAATCTATTAGACAAACAAGACTTACACGCTGCAAATGTTGAGGATTACGTTTCAAAAATAATAAAAATAAAAAAAACACTAATCACCATCTGTTTTAATATGATTAATGAAGTATCTAAGAAGTTAATGTAAAAAAAGGAGACGTGGTATGATTATCAGTTAGATAACTATCCACCTATCTAAATGATGTAGATAAAAACACTATAGGTTATCATACAGTCTTTAACAACGAGCAAAATCCATACCGTAAAGTCTGCTTTAAAAGGTCATGAAATGACAAAATGCGTCAATTTCAAAGGAAAACTTCATGGTCTGATGTTAAATTAAAAATATATATATACAAATGACAGAGAGCATCCAACAACATATACTGGAATATAGGATCCTGATTTGGGATATGCCCTTGAGGACATAACGGTGTAAAATATGAATGTTTGTGAGCCTTTAATTCTATTGCAATGTTACGTTCGACCTTTATAAACAAAACAAGCTATAATTGGTGACCCAAACCACCATAAAGCATGACTCTCATTGCATAAGAAATAAAACAACATGGTATTTTTTAAATATACTATCAAGTCTGCAAATTTTGTCCCATATACAATTTACAGGTACATTGTCGAAAAACACCAAACGTATTATTTGGTTTAGCCTTACAAAACGCTTAAGAAACGAGAAGACAAGCGAAAGATGTTCTGCTGGTTGAAGCAAGTACATGTACAAATACAGTACATATTTTCTTACAATGAACATGAATATTATTGTTATTCTGTAGAAGGCAAACCATTATTTGAACACCGATCATTTTTTCAAGTTTAGTGAATTGCAGAATGACATATTTTAGCAATAACATACAAGTCTTGTTTGCGAGATTGTATGATGGTTTTTATACTATGTTTTTGATTTTCAAACATGACAAGTACCATTATAAGATATATATTTTATATTGTTTTTAAATTATGTATTCTATTTTCTCTAATTCTTACTCGATTTATAATTTTCCTGACCTGTTGATTATTTTTATTTAATCAACGTGTGGTTCGTTTGATCTCAGTCTGAAATTTGGGCTAAATTCGATTATAACGTCTAACGTTCTTGCTTTCCTCTGAAATTCCCATTGTGACGTTATGAAAAAAGGCGACCATGTCTGATGACGTCACATAGAAAGAACAAATATTTGTGCAGATCATTCAAAAAGAAGGATTATGATTGTATGCATATCGTCTAAAAATCATTAGAGAAACAGATTCCATCACCAAATCTCGTGCAATACGATATGTATCCACTCTCGACAGTTACATTGTAAATATTTAAACACTCGGCAAGACTCGCGTTTTAATTTTGAAAATTTGACTGTCTCGAGTGGATAAATATCGTATCACACTTGATGCAGTGGTAGAATCTATATAAATCACTTGTAAAGAGAGAAATGATATGCTTGGTATATAAATAAAACAATTCTAGTTGGTTTGTTTTGCATTCAAACTTTTTGTGGTCAATTTTAGTTTTTATATATTATATTCCTTTAAATCACATACTGATGATTAAAGAAAGCGTTACATTGAATAAGTTGCTATGGTTGCCATTTCTTTGTTTGAATATTTTTTGTTATGAATAAAATGAAATTCTTGATTTTGTATATAACTTTCAATGAAAGGAGTATAGCCCCGAAGTGCCGATATTGGCCCTGTGAGATGACAAAGAATAAAGAAGAAATAAGGTAGACCCTTTATAACTAAAACATATCTACATATATTGTTGTTTATTATTATAGTATAAAATCATATTTTCATGACGTCATTATTGTAACATTATACCCGGAATTGAATCGGAACGTTCAGTATATCAAAAGTTTGGTTAAATTTCACATTGGCCACAGGCCTCGACCAAAGTAATTTTAATCTTATACGTGTATTATTTTGTATACACTTTGACGTCGTTTGCAACACGATTTAGCGTGGTCGCAGCCTGTGGCCCCAATCGAAAAATAACTGTTCCAAGAACTTATTCAATTGCTATAAATAGAAATAAATTCTACAGTTAATCTTAAATTATTCTTATTTCTAATAAATTTTATTACATAATCATATTGTTTATGGTATTGAAATAACCCTGCGCATATGTGTTGCAAGTCCCATCATATAGTATTGATGTCAGTTTTGCAATGTCACTTCGCATATCGTGATTTTTATTTTCCCTGACAAATAATGTAGACCTCTTTGTCATTTTCTTCTTCCAACTGAAGTACGTACTGAGGTACATGTAAGTCAAAATGAATAAACAAACCAAAAAAAAATTGAATAAAAAGTTTGTATTTTGCGTAGCTTCGTCAACTTCCGACGGAGGTTTTTAAACACAAATAAATATGTTCTTACAACGGTTTTTATTAGAATACGGGACACATTACGTGGAAAATAAAATTATTGTGAATTTGCAAATTACTTCACAGTTCATTTTTCTACGTTGAAATATAAAAATATAGATTCCACCACTGAAACTAGTAAATGTGTTACTTTATTTTTCCACTCAAAACAGTTAAATTTTAAATAATTGAAAATTAAGATTATTACTACATACGGATGGTAAAAATAAATTACAGAACTGTGAACAATAACTACATGTACATTATATTTGTATGACATAATGGTTTAATTTAGAGAAGCTGAGAGGGCATATGGTGTATATTTTCCGTAACATTTGTTAGCAATACCCAGAACATTTGTTGTTTTTGCTAATGAAAATTAAAAAAGATGAAAGAAAACTACCCGACACTTTGGTATGTCTTGGGTAACTTCTAAATAATAGTAAGACCATATACAAGAAGCAGTTTCTTATTTGGTCCCTTTTCGGTGGTGTCTTTTAAAAGATTATGCTACAACTGGCTGCTTACTAAGAATAAAATATCTCTGGGTATCTTTAAATTCCTTTATTTCCCTCTTTTTATGGAGACTTCTTTTCTATCCTTTTCAATGACAATTTATTGTTTCCTGTTAAAAATTCTCTAATTGCTATCCGTCATAAATATGGATGAAGTATTTGCCACCTCACGTTCATCTAACAACAATCAATCATATATACCGCTTAAACTACAGTACTATGATGACTTTAAACATAATCGAATAGTTTATAAAAGGTCTGTTTATTTTTTTAGCAGATATATATTATTTCAAATTTTGAAGAAACTGAAAACTGAGATTGTATTACACTCGGTATACTGTACATGTACATATTGTGTAATTCATTAATTGGTTTTTGACCCAGTTTGCATAATAATTGATGTCTACTGTTATTTTTTTTTTTAAATATCCATAAAAGATCAGCAAGTGTTACATTACTTGTCCATTCTGATTTTTTATAAGATGTAACTATTGTCTGAACCATATTAAACAGTCTGAACGTGTACTTGACCTTTACTAGACCAGTTAGGAACCATTAAAACCATACTCACTAAAGTCTGAATCATAATAGACAATAAAGTGACATTCAGAGTAATGAAAGAGGTTATGACAAACATTTATATAAATACCCGAGAAAATATCTTTTAAAAGTTATTTCTAAATGATACATCACCAAAACTCTTTTTAATACATGTATCTGCTGTCCACGGATTTTATCGAACACTAATTTACAATATGCCGTTTGCAAAGTGCAATACACAATGTTTTAATCAATTATT